ATCAGAATCAGAAATACAGAGATAGACAGAGGTATATAGAGATATATATATATATACAGAGATATATACAGAGATATACAGAGGTATATAGAGATATATACAGAGATATACAGAGATATACAGATATATAGACAGAGATATATACAGAGGTATATACAGAGATATATACAGAGATAGACAGAGGTATATAGAGGTAGACAGATAGAATATATACAGAGATATACAGAGATAGACAGAGATAGACAGGTATATACAGAGATATAGACAGAGATATACATATATATACAGATATTTACAGATATATACAGAGATATACAGAGAACAGGAAAACCTCCGGGTTTGATTGATTGATGCGGCTAATAGCAGGTAGAGTTGATGAGATTCAGTGGTGATTAACCCCTCGTTAACCCAATCCACATAATGGAAAAAGAGTTTCTGATATGTAGTCAGTCATTAATTATATAACGAGGTCAACACAGAGATTATCCACTCGACAAACAGTTTCTTCTTACTAACTTATTTATGTCACTAGTGCTGCAATTAATTAATATTTTCCTTGTCCATTTATCTGTTCATTATTATTATTATTAGTAGTAGTAGTATTTTGATTTAGCCATTAATTGAAAAGGTCTTAAACCCAAAGATATTTAATTTACCATCACATAAAACTGAATAGCAGCAAATTGTCATAATTGAGAAGCCAAAACCAGCGACTGTTTGGCTTTTTGGGGCGATAAGTGCGTTGAGAAATCAGTTAATTATCAGAATTGTTGTGGGTTTAATGTCCACCGACTAATCAACAGATATATATTATTATACTGTATTATTGCCAACCTGTTGTGATCTATATGTTACTCTCATCTGAAGGAGGCTTTACGTGTCTAGTTTGAACAACTTCTCCTTCACCTTTGTCACTTTCATCTGTTTGTTTCTCTCCCTCACTCGCAGCCTGCCAGAGAGTTTAAGCCATGGAAGACAAACGCTGTACCCCCTCCTGATAGCTACACCTCCGAGCCAGAGAAGAAGAAGGGACCTCCCCCGGGCATGGACATGGCCATAAAGTGGTCTAATGTGTATGAGGACAATGGGGAAGATGCACCACAGCCTTACACTGGCAACGCCCGGTTCTTACCCACAGAGGAGCAACCCTCCGACTCAGGTCAGTCTGTGCCAGATGTTGCACCCATAAACAAGCTTATTGATGTCCCAATCCTAAAACATAACAATCAAAAGTCAATCCAAAGCCAACACACCACATGAAAGGTTTATGTGATTCTGGAGACGTCTGTGTTTGGCACCAAGAGGGGTAGGTTTGATCCCAACATTGGTAGGGACACAATAACTCACCCAGTAGTTCTGTTTCCTTTGGAGAGTTTCCTCTTTCCTGTGAAGTTTATAACGACAGTTTCAAGTTTTGCTGCTTAAATGTGCTACGATATTTGCTGCAGTGACATCACAACGTGCATGGAAACATTTAAAATGATTGAAAGCAGCCTTTGAAATCATTAAAGTAACGCAAACTCTCTTACAAATTGCTAGACTATATGGACACAAGCCCTAAAGATACTCTTTCTGAATCAAAGAATACATTTATGTATGAGAGCACTCACAAAAAACAGCAAAGCACAAAATACATTTAAGCCTGAAACAACTACCTGTTCACCTGTGATTAGCGAATGGACTGAGCTATAAACCCAGGGCAGTGTCAGTGGTACCCAAAGATGTAAAAGCTGGATCACTCCACCCATCTTGGTGGGAAAAGGGATGTAGGTAGCCATGGAACTACTGAACAAGCACAAACAAAACAAAAACTTAAGCTTTGTCCCGGCACAGAAGTAGCGTCTATCGTTGTTAGCGTGCTGTTGAGTAATCTTTATTTCCCTCTGTCCGCTCCACACCGCCGATCAGATGACGAATCCGATAAGGGAGACCTGTCTTCCAAGAAACGTCGAGTGGAGACCTTCCAGCAGAAGGAGAAGAGGAAGAGGGAAATGGGACAAGCTACCTCCGACAAGAATTTCGTAGAGGAGGAGAAAAGGATCCTGAGGCAAAATATTGAGTGAGGCCCGTACTGCCTGCGACAAGGAGTCTGTTTCTAATTTAAACATTTTATGTCAGCCGAGAACATTCACGAATATTAGCACAATGGTCCAGTTTGTAGGTAGTATGCTGCGAGCGCAAACAGGCATTTTTGCCTGTATGTTGACATAATTTGCAATATTTATACTTGTTTTTGTTTCCAAAGGACTGTCGGCACACTTTAAACAGAAATCGTATAGTATATGATGGTCCTGCTGCAATATTTTCAACTTAAGAGCTCAATTTCCAGTACATCCCTGTGGACTATTTTCCAAAGTTAAAGGAAAATTCAGGTGTTTTACAGTCTACGTCATATATATATATATTTTTGAAATAGTTTTGGCTGTCATCCTCACCAGCTCTCTTCCAAGGACACAGGGATGAGGGCTATTACTAGACAAAGCTTTACAACATGTACTGGGCATTACTAAACAAGTAATTAGACAGGTTTGGTCCCAGTTCGGCGTCACCTTCGCTTTACTTCCGAACACGCGGTTTTTACAACAAGGTGAAATGAGACTTGTTTAAACCTGCCTGATTGCTCTCGTTTGAGTCCCTGTGTCTCTAGGTCTTTGCAAAGAAGCTGGTTAATGAAATGTCATCACAACTAATAGGGATGAAGGCCAAAACTACAAGAAACGATTTAACTTTAAAAGAGAGTTTTGCTTGTTGTGACACATTGAACATAAAGTGTGGTTAGTTTGGCTTTGCCTCCTCTTTTGTTTTGATTTAAATGAGCTAAAATAACAGTGACGTCTGGCTGTGGTGCTTTACCCGATCTGTGTTTGTCTTGTATTATATACGAAATATATAATCACTGAAATGACTGTGTTTGTGTTGTGTTACTACAGTGACTTTCCTTCAAAAATGTGATTTAAAAATGGCTGTAAATCTGTTGCAATTATAACATTTTGCTTGTTCTTCCTGCTTATGGGCACTAGATGTCGCCCTTAAGCTACACTAGAATATACTCCCTTCATGTTTGTAGTCAAGTCCACTGGACTTTGTGTAAACTTTGGGCACCCCAAATTACAACCAGGGTCTTTGTATAAACTGTTGGTCAGAAAGGGAGTTTGTCTCATCTCAGTTCTCTTGAGATACTTGATGCATACGGACTGTTTGTTCAGTCTCATGTACCTTGTATTACAAAACACTTTTACATCTGTGTGAAATAAAACTTCTTGCATGTTTAGTATATCAGACGGTGTTTTGAACATTGTACCGTTTTATCAAACCAGCAGATCTGCTCATTCAGTGTAAACAGGTAATTTTATGGTTTGTTTTAAGTGTTATACTATTCATTATAAACTACTTAGGCAATAAAAGGTATTTTACTGGAGAAAAGTGTTGAATTTTATTATTTAAGACAAGTTCAGAAAGAGCTACAGGAAATTAACTCACTGAAAAGTAAAGCTCAATTATTATTATTATTATTATTAGAATTCAGGTAATAGACTATACTCAAATGTCTGTGACCATTGGATCAAATATAAGCAGCATTGAAAAAAAGAAAAGTTTCCACTTTGCAACAGCTTAGTGATCAGAGGAATTCCTCACCTGTCACTGTGGGTCGACATGAAATAGTGGTAAATTTGCCTCTGATAAAATTCCAGCCTCCAGGTATGTGCCTGGCCTTGTCTGAAATGCGTAACTGGTCCTGCACAACAGCAGCAGGCTGATTTTTATCAGCCATATTTACGAACAAATAACTTCTCTCTTCGCACTGACTGTATGAGCGATGACCAGCGGGGTCACATCCATCAGTGTTCAAGAATTACTCACGTTGCCGTCAACCTTGCAGCAGGAAATTTCCCAGAATATAGATGTTCTGCGGGTCTCTATTCTTGGAACCGTGTGGAGAACCTAAATTCCAGTTTAGTTTTTGTGTATTGTTTGTTGTGTTGAATTGTCAGTGTCTTTGATACAATATCTAAATCACTCCAGGTCTGTAACCTCTTTGTATTCTAGGGATCATGTTACCAGAGGAAAGCATTTTTTAGTCCCAGTGGATGTCACACATGGCTGACCTTATCTTCATATAATAAAAGAGAACATCTTGGTCTTATGTTACACTTTGTACCATCAAAACATCAGTCACTGAAGTCCTAAAAGCATTCCACCTCACCTCAACAAAATTCTCAATATCTAAATAAGGTTTCTGTGGTCACCTTATTGTCACTTATTAACTAAATTGCACGAGGTTTCCAATAACTCCATGTCTGTTTCCTGGTCCAGTCAGGGCTATGAAAAGTGTCAGTCACACTAACCGTTTATCACTGTGACACATTTACTGGAAGGTCAAGACCTCATGATGGCCATTGAGTATTCAGGGACCTTTACTGAGCTGGCTGCCTACAGCTGCTACTATCTGACTTATGACATTTTCACACAGTCAGCACAATGTCACAGCTTGTATGTAAATTTAGTCCTGGCTGTTGTCTGGTGCTGCAGGGGACCCAAAGCCAATATAAGACAAATACGTACCCCCATTTTTCTTTAATAGAAAAAGGTTACAAGTATGTGTCTACACGCCTGCAAGCTAAATGCCAACATCAGTACAAAGACAGTATAAAAACAGTAAGAGTATGAAAAAATAATATAATATAATATAA